TGTATGGGTGATTATGTGATTGAGTCTTGATAGAGTTTTGCCTAGGGTTTATGATGTGTGTTTTGATTGATTATATGTGTGATCTTGTATTTAATTATGTCTAGAGCTTGTCCCTAGGGTTTATATCATGAATCTCATTTTTGTGATGTTCTTGGTATATTTGGGAGGGATTATGCATGATCGGGTGTTGAGTCTAGCCTAGGATTTATCATTAGGGCTTTGCATATAATTTTCTTGATACTCTTGTGGTTCCGGATGCTCCTAAACCGTTATATGATTGATGTTAAGTCTTGGAATGTTTAGGAATCGTGTTACAACTTATTTGGAATGATTCTTGGTTTAGTCTTTGTTAATTGAATCCGTGATATTGTTGTTACGTGTTAGAATGTGTTTGGACATGGTTTCGAGTCCCCCGAACGAAATCGAAACCAGATTTTCTACCTTAGTACCAGTGGGGGGTAGGTGGGGGGAACCAATCCCCACCACCTACCTGCTGCCCGAGACTGCCCAGTTCCAGCGGGCAGCCGGCGGGCAGGCGACTGCCCCCCGAGCACCCGCTGGAAACCAAGGCCGCCGCCGGCGAGTGGTCCTCCACCCGTCGCCCACCCGTTGGAAAAAGTTGGTGGGTTGTGATGTTTTTCCCCGTTTGATGTTTCCCCGTGTCCCGTTGTACCCCGTTTAACGTGTATGAGTCCCGTTTGATGTTTTGGATACCGTTCTAGGAATTTATGTGTAGTACGTATCGTTGTTATTATGCCTTGATTGTTATTGATTGATTATGTGTTGAGTGATTGAATGGTGATGGGCATCGTGGTCATTGCGCAATGATCGGTGTGACTGCTGATGATGAGATTGTGATTGGTGGAAATGAATTGTTGGCGGAAAGCATTACTAGTACTCGGTTATCGTGCTAAAGGCATGGACCACCCCTTAGACTAGCTGGCTAAAGGCTTGGGTCATGGTATAAGCGCCGCGGTGTCATGTTAGAGCTATATGCGCTAACCTCTTGGTATTGGTACTAGAGGCACGGACCATGCGAATGACACTTCGGTGCTACAATGTTGGTGGACTTGTTGGTGGTTACGGAGTGGGGCATGTAGTTGCTCCGGAGGATAAGGAGGAGGTATAAGGGTGGCCTGGAGGTACAGGTTGGAACTGAAATAAGGATGGAGTGGTGTGAAAATGTTGGAACTTGGTATAAGTTTGGAAGATGGATTGTGTGACTTGATGATTAATTGCTGATTGACTGTCTTGAATCCCTTTGTTGTCTCTATTTGCTATTTATAAGCTTATCTGTCTATTATGTTTTGTATTGTGTTCTTAGGACACATGTTTGTCTTTATTATTGTCCTAGAGTGTTAAGTCTATTGTTGTGTCTCGAGTCTTGATCTTGGTTTAAATCTAGAGTTGCTCAAGTTATATATGTATTCCAGTTTCAAAATGATTTCCTATATTATATTTATTGTACTTAACGCGTGGGAGTGGGTTACTCAGCATTATTCGCTGACGGTCGCTACGATATGTTTTTCAGGTGATGATCATTAGCTGAGGAACGCGCTAGATGGACTCATAGTCTTAGTCTAGTTAGTCCTAGATACAATAGCCGGCCTGCGTGCCATGGATTGTGTTTTGTTTATCGGCTTGTGGATTGCACCTGCCTGAATAGTCTTAGCCTGTGCACCTAGGTTCTCAAACTTAGGTGTGGCATAACACCCCGACAATTATGTTTAGCTTATGCTCTGTTTGGATAATTATTACAAGTTGCCTTTACTTTATAAGTCTTTAAATGATTTAAAAATTAGGGGTGTTACAGTTTCCACATGGCTAAACCTCTAGCCTTATATCACGCCCCTCCTTGTTCTGACTTGGGCACACTTTCTATAACACCCTCGATTTTTCGGCATAATTCAAAACTTAAATATAAAGATAAGTCTAATCATTAAATCAAAGCTTAGAGGAAGCTAATCAGTAAAATACGAGGGAGTTACGCCACATCTATCTGACTATAGATGCACATGCTAGAAGCTAAAACCAAATCCAAACATAAGTCAATATTAAATAATTCTAGGCTCACAGGCCACAAGTCTAGAATAACAAAAGAGAAAGCTACGCTATCTAAGCCTTTGTCTAGCGCGCTCTCAAACGATCTACTCAACACCTGAAAACACAAGGGTAGCACCCGTCAGCGAATAATGTTGGTAACCCACCAATACTTGTTGAGTAGAATATAATATAGATATAGAGAAAAACATTTGAGACTTGGATACATTATATATAGTCTTTAAATACCAACATCATCGGTTACTCAATAGATCAATAAGAACGACATAAGTAACATGCTTAACAACAAGATACATCATACGATAATCAATCAAGAGACAACACAAGTCATACTCATAAACCATGAGAGACAAGATTCACATTCAATGATATGCTCAAGTTCCGAGTTCCAAGTTCCAAGTTCCAACCTTATGGCTACCCCCGACCTTATCTCAGTTCCAACCATTACCTCCTTGTGCCACCCTGTACACCAAGTCCAACCTTATCCCTCCGGAGCCTTTACATTGCTCCCCGCCTGCATCCGCCAGCTTGCCACCGAACGTAGACATTCATAATGTCATTAATCATTTAGTACTAATCATGATAGTATACCGCCAACATGTGAGCAAAGGTTAATAACATTACCACCAATCTCATAACATTCACATAATCATTGTCATAGAGGATTGAAGCCCATCAATAGCCCAATCAAGTATCAATAAACAGGTACATCATATGTACAAGATCATATCAAGGAATTCAATCAATAGATTTCAATGAAAGACATGAATCAACAATCAAACAACGATACAACAATGATAGACTTTAATCCAAAGATTATCATGATTGGCAACACAAGTTGCCAATCCTCATTGGGAACAAATGAACAACCACATACTAGCATCAACAACAGCATAACTAGCATGTATATCAAAATGGCAAACATAACGGTTCAATCGAAAATCAACGACTTCACATTAATCCAACGAATCACAAGGTTGGACCATAAGCACGATTCAAGACTCATAATCCTATCATGGATACTTAGGACACCGTTCTAGACATACGAAACATCAAAGGAGACACACAATTGCGCAACGATTCAACAAAACGGAGGCCAAAGCATCACGTACCTGATGAACAATATTTTTAGTGTTAATTTAGTTTATTGTTTCTAATTAATAAGTAATTTTTAATTAGTTATTGTACATATTTTTATATTTCATTATGTTTTTTAGTTTTTCTTAAAATAATTAAATAATAGGTTGTTTTATTATTACTTTTAGTATTATGTTTTTCTAAACCCAATTAGTATGATTATTTAGTTGAGCCCAATATTTGTAGTCCATTTGATAAAGTCCTTTATCATTGTGCAAAGAATTGATGCAGCAAAACAAAAGGATATGACGCATCAGTTTGGCCGATTCAAGCGCGATCCAAAAGGATTTTCTCCCAGCGCTGCCTAGTCCTTTGGAAGATCCGATTGAGACGTTGAGCTATAGAATCTCCGGTTGATCAGCGGGATCTCAGTGAAGCGGTTGAACTAAGCACTATAAAAAGAAGCCAGTGTTCATCGATTTTTTTTCATGACCAATCTCACAGATTCAGCCTTCAATTCTCACACCCAAAGTATTTGCTGCGAAAAGAAAAGAGAAGGAGAGTGATTTCGGCGGCGTACGACGGTGAAGGCGCTTCGCATCTCAGTCCCAGCAGATTAATTATAGCAGTAAATTCTAGGTTCAATTCGGCAGTGGGGACAATTGATTTTGGCAATTTGCACACTCCAGGTTCTAGAATTAATTTGCAATTTAGTAGTGCATGGTATCTATTAGTTTATATAAAATCAAGATTGCAATTTTGGGATACGTGAGGTTGTTGTATCTTTGCAGTAGCATTCATATATTAGTTATATAATCGAAATGTTGAGTGGCTAATTCTTTAATCTGGGTACATGAAACAATAACTATGAAAATTCTGCACTAATATGAGTTTTAATGCTTTCAATTAAATTATGTTTTATCTTACGCTTTCATGTGATGATTAATTGTGTTGAATCTGGCCAGTTCTAACGTTAATTAGTCGTTTGATGGAATTAATTGTGTACATACCATACCTGTTAATTCTAAGCTCTGTAGGATAAAAGGATAAATAATTTGGCTGTCTTGTTGGCTTATTTATTTGGTTCATAACCCGGGTATTCCGTAGTTCTTTTAGGACTTAATGGGTTTTAACTATTTGAATAAGTATCTTAAGTACATGAATGGTTAAAACACATGATTACTTTGGACGTCATACGAAGTTATCATATTTTAGAAAAGAACGAACTCGTAATTGGTTGGCACCATTAGACTTAAAATGCAGAATTAGTAATAGTAATTGATTCATGTTCCCAGTTTTGTTTTTCTAATCTGAAGTTTAAGTTGATAATCTGTTTTTTGGTAATTTATTCGTTTACTTAATTTAAGCTAGTCTTAATTTTTGGATCTTGTTTCTAGAACTTTAATTTGTTAATTTGATCGTTTTCAATCTGTAAGTTGCATTGTTTTAATTCCCTGTGGGATCGACCCTTGCTAAAGCACACTATTACTAATAATTGACTCGTGCACTTGCGAGGACATTCAAAAATTGTCCATCAATTTTGGCGCCGTTGCCGGGGAATTGTTTACGGTGCAATTTGCTTTAAAATTTTATTTTTTTTTTAAGTGTTTAATATTGGTTTACTTTTTCCTATTTCCCTTTTATCTTATTTATTTTACTTTCAATTGCTTGTTTTTTTTTTTCTTCTTTTCTTCCTTTTTTTTTCTTTATTTATTTTTGTTATTTTATTTATTTATGTTATGCAGGGTCGTCGTTCTTTAAACCCTAAATTGTTACCTTTAGACGACCGTATTGACAGGAGAAAGAAAAAAATATTAGTTTTTGAAAATCCCATTTTTGAACCACAAGAAACGACCACCACCATGGCTGCACTTCCTCCACCCAATCCCAATCCTAACCCCAACCCCAGGCCTAATCCTAGGCTAATGAAAGACTTTGGTAGTCCCCAAGTAGGAACTTCACCATCTTGTATAGTGCTTACCAATGCAGGGCGGAATTATGAGTTAAAGACGGTTCATTACAATCAATTGCCGTCTTTTCATGGTTCAGGAACCGAGGATGCCCTCACCTTCATTAGGGATTTCTACGGGGTAGTCCAAAACTTTCCGTTGAATGACCTAACGGAGGATGAATTGAGAATGAGGTGTTTCCCTTACACCTTGAAAGATGCAGCAAAGACATGGTTCATGTCTCTCACACCGGGGTCCCTTCGGACATGGCCGGAGGTGTACAACAAATTCATAGGTAAATTCTATTCACATGCCAAGACTTCCGAATTAAGAAGAAAAATTGCGACTTTTTCGCAAGCTGAAGGCGAACCATTTCATGAGGCATGGGAAAGGTTTAAAATGTTGCTCATTAAATGCCCCCACCATGGCTACCCGTTGGAGCTGCAAAATCAAACATTCTATGATGGTTTGACCCAAACCAGCCAATCAATAGTTGATAATGCGGCTGGAGGTGCCATGGCAGAAAAAACTGCGGAGGAGACCTTAGCGTTGTATGAAATGCTAGGAGCAAACTCCCAACAAAAAAGCATAAGGGGGCGGACACCAGGAATGTATGAAGTTAGCTCAAATTCTGATTTGACGGCGTATATGTCTGAGTTAACAAAACAAATGACAAGCATGTGTTCTATGATGAGTATGAACCAAAAGAATGCATGTATGATTGAAGAAACTGACAATGTTGAGCAGGTCAGTGCAATGAACAATTTTAATCAAAGGCCAAGAAATGACCTGTATTCCAATTCTTATAATCCGGGGTGGAAGAATCACCCTAATTTTTCATGGGGTAGTAATCAAAATTATCAATCAACTGATCCACCTCAACCAAAAAGACCATCTTTGGAGGATTCATTGAATACTTTGGTACAAGCCTGCAATAGACAGCAGGAAACAACGGAGCAGCAATTCAAGATGCAACAAGAAGCAAGTGAACGACGATTTCAACAACATGAAGCTTCAATGAAAAAATTGGAAGCACAAATAGGGCAAATCGCCGAAGCTCTACAAGGCCATGTGCCAGGTAAGTTGCCCAGCCAACCTGAACAAGCTAAGGTTTTGACTGTTTTAAGAAGTGGTAAAGTTATTGAAAATAATGTGAAAGCAAGTACCACTCCTAAACAAACTGAAATAGTTGAAAACTTGAATGTTGATGATGATATTAATAATGATAAACCCAAGTTGCATAAATCTGATGATCCTTATGTGCCCCCTAAGCCTTATGTTCCCCCGGTTCCATTCCCCGGTAGATTAAGGAATTCAAAATTTGATAAATCATTTTCTGACATTTATGATTTGTTGTCAAAAGTGAATGTGAATTTACCATTGTTAGACATGATTAAAAATATGCCTGCTTATGCTAAGTTTTTAAAAGAATTGAACACTAGAAAGCGTAGATATGAACATAATGAAAAAGTTTTCATGTCTAAAACTGTAAGTGCTTTTTTGCAAACTAACTTGCCTCCAAAATTAGAAGACCCTGGTAGTTTCATAATAAATATTACAGTGGGGAATTCTAAGCAAGAAAAGGCTATGCTTGATTTAGGGGCAAGCATTAACTTGATGCCATATTTTGTCTACTTGCAGTTAGGTCTGGATAAATTGAAACCTACTACAATGTCCTTAGAGCTTGCTGATCGTTCTGTCAGATATCCTAGAGGCATTGTAGAAGATGTTTTAGTCCAAGTTGACAAATTAATAATTCCTGCTGACTTTGTCGTATTAGACATAAATAAAAAGTATAATTATGAGCAGGACATGCCTATCTTGCTTGGCCGACCTTTCATGGCCACAACAAAAACAATGATTGATGTTCAAAATGGAAAATTAACCATGACTGTGCTTGATGAAACTATTGAATTCTCCATTCTTAAATCAATGAAACTGCCTGAAAACAATAATAATCATTGTTTTGCTGTAGATGTTTTAGATTCAATAATTTCTGCTAAGTTTTTAGATCAATATCCGTTGAAGGTCGAGGTTGATGACGTGGAACACGACGAAAGCCCAATAAAAGAGGGGAGTGTTGAAGGAGGTTCAGTTACATGTCTGGAGCAAATCAAGGGAAAACACCGTCCTTCTATCGAAGCTGAAATTCCACCCACGCTGGAACTAAAACCTCTTCCTAGTTCTTTAAAATATGCTTTCTTAGGTCCAAATAATACTTATCCTGTAATAATTGCCTCTGACATTTCACTTGAACAAGAACAAAGTCTGCTAGACGTATTACAAAAGTATAAAAGTGCAATTGGTTGGACAGTAGGAGATATTAAAGGAATAAGTCCAACGGTTTGTATGCACCGTATCCTTCTTGAAGAAGGGTCAACTCCTGTCCGTCAACCTCAGCGCAGGTTAAATCCAAATATGAAGGAGGTTGTACGGGCAGAAGTCCTAAAGTTGCTGGACTCAGGTATTATTTACCCAATTTCAGACAGTAAATGGGTAAGTCCAGTTCATGTAGTGCCAAAAAAGTCTGGGATTACTGTGGTCAATAATGACAAAAATGAATTAATCCCAACTAGGACAGTAACTGGGTGGCGCATGTGCATAGATTACAGAAAATTAAATGCCGCCACTAAAAAAGATCATTTTCCTTTGCCCTTTATTGACCAAATGTTAGAAAGATTAGCTGGGCATGCTTATTATTGTTTTCTTGATGGCTTTCAAGGTTATTTTCAGATTCCTATTGCACCTGAGGATCAAGAAAAAACGACATTTACATGCCCTTTTGGAACTTTTGCTTACCGCAGGATGTCATTTGGGTTATGTAATGCACCTGCGACTTTTCAAAGGTGTATGATGTCGATCTTTTTTGATATGATTGAAAAATATATTGCAGTGTTTATGGATGATTTTTCTCTATTTGGTGACTCTTTTGATGATTGCCTTGCTCATTTATCGTCTGTGCTTGAAAGGTGTGTTAAAATGAATTTAACCTTGAGTTGGGAAAAAAGTAATTTCATGGTTAAAGAGGGCATCGTTTTGGGGCATATAATTTCTGACAGGGGAATCGAGGTTGATAAGGCTAAAATTGATGTTATTTCGAAATTACCTCCCCCTACTTCTGTAAAAGAAGTGCGAAGTTTTCTTGGTCATGCAGGTTTTTACAGGCGCTTCATAAAAGATTTTTCAAAAATTTGTAAGCCTTTATGTAACCTGCTTTCAAAAGATGTTGTTTTCAAATTTGATGATGACTGCTTATCTGCTTTCAAGTTTTTAAAAGAAAAATTAACTTCGGCTCCCGTCCTTGCTGCACCTAATTGGGAGTTTCCTTTTGAAATAATGTGTGATGCATCTGATTATGCCATAGGCGCTGTTTTAGGACAAAGAATTAATAAAATGCCTTATGTGATTCATTATGCGAGCAGAACTTTGGATAGTGCTCAGGCTAACTATACAACTACTGAAAAGGAGTTGTTGGCTATAGTCTTTGCATTAGAAAAATTCCGTTCTTACTTGATTGGTTCTAAGGTGATTGTTTATTCTGATCATTCTGCTCTAAAATTTTTGTTGGCTAAAAAAGATGCTAAACCTAGACTAATAAGATGGATTCTATTGCTGCAAGAGTTTGATTTGACTATCAGGGACAAGAAAGGTTGCGAGAATGTGGTAGCCGATCATTTGTCCCGTCTACCCGAAGCAGCTAATAACTATCCTAATTATGATATTCCTATTAATGACAGGTTTCCAGGTGAACAATTGCTTTCTTTACAGAACACAGAACCTTGGTATGCTGACATTGTGAATTATTTAGTCTCGGGTCAATTTCACCCAGACTTAAATTCACAAGGAAAAAAACATTTTCTTTCCAAAGTAAAACATTTTTTTTGGGATGAGCCTTATTTGTTTAAAATTTGTCCTGATCAAATAATTAGAAGGTGTATTCCTGAGCTTGAACAACAGAATATTTTGAATCACAGTCACACTTTAAATTGCGGAGGACATTTTAGTGGGAAGAGAACTGCATTGAAAGTTTTGCAGTCTGGTTTTTATTGGCCCACTTTGTTCAAGGATGCGTTTGAATTTTGTGCTAAGTGTGATAGATGCCAGAGAACTGGTAATATAAGTAAGCGTCATGAAATGCCCCTCTCAAATATTTTGGTCATTGATCTCTTTGATGTTTGGGGAATTGATTTTATGGGGCCTTTTCCTACTTCTTTTGGTTATAATTATATTCTTGTGGCTGTTGATTATGTATCAAAATGGGTTGAAGCTGTAGCTACTCGGACAAATGATAGTAAAGTTGTTCTACAGTTTTTGAAAGATATTTTTGCCAGGTTTGGGGTACCAAGAGCTATTATTAGCGATGAAGGTACCCACTTCTGTAATAAACTTTTTGCAGGTCTTCTGAAAAAATATGGCATTACTCATAGAGTGGTTACTCCATATCATCCACAAACCTCTGGCCAAGTAGAGGTGAGTAACAGGCAGATCAAGGGGATATTGGAAAAGACGGTGAATCCTTCTAGGAAGGATTGGGCCATCAAACTTAATGATGCACTGTGGGCTTACAGGACAGCCTACAAGACCCCGATTGGTATGAGCCCGTACAGGTTGGTATTTGGCAAGGCTTGTCATTTGCCAGTAGAGTTAGAACATAAAGCTTATTGGGCTATTAAATTTCTAAATTTTGATTTGCAGAAGGCTGGTAGAATTAGAAAATTAAATTTGAATGAATTAGATGAAATAAGAAATGACTCCTATGAAAACTCGAAAATCTATAAAGAGAAGACTAAAGCTTATCATGATAAGTTTATTTTGAGGAAAAAATTTGAACCTGGGATGAAAGTTTTGTTATTTAACTCTCGTTTGAGATTGTTTCCAGGTAAGTTAAAATCTAGATGGACAGGACCTTTTGTGGTTCGTGAGGTATTTCCTCACGGTGCCTGTGAAATTGAAAATCCAAGAACAGGTGAAAAATTTAAGGTAAATGGGCAAAGACTTAAGCAGTACCTCGAGGGTGAATCTTCAGCCCAGATTGTTGAACGGATAGAGTTGCAGCACTCTGAATGCCCATAGTTGTCTAGCTACAGACAATAACTGAAGCGCTATTGGGAGGCAACCCAATTCTCTTTCCCTTTTCCTTTATTTTTAATTTGACTTGCTTATTCTATTTTAATAATTTGATGAGCTCTGACAGTTTTTTGTGTGTCTCTTTTAATTGTTGTTCTCTACATTGAGGACAATGTTTGAAATAAGTGTGGGGAAGGTATTTATATTCTAAATAATTGTCATTCTCTTCCTCTTATGTGTTTTCATTGCAAAAAAATAAATAAATAAATAAATAAATAAAATAATAATAAAAATGTTTTACTTTTAAAAGCAATTAAGTACGAACTTGAGTTTTACTTAGTAAGTCTTTTGATTAGCCTATGATGAAAATAATGCAGGTTTTTGTCAGCTCTTAGTGTGTATATTGCTTTTGACTAGTTGTTAATTTCTTTAATTTTATATCTTTGTCAAATAAAAAACCAAAAAAATCAAAAAAACAAAAAAATAAAAATAAAAAAATAGAATATGAAAATCACAAATACCCTTATATGTTTTATGCGTTTTCTTTAATAGTTTATATGTTGATTTCAACTTATATTATCCTTATCAAATTCTTAAACAATTCTTGAGTGCTATAAATTGTGGTGTAGTATGTTGGTTTCAAGGATCATCTTTATGGCATAAGCGAGGTGAAAGAAAAGGATTAAAAAATATTTAAAAAAAATGAGAGTGTTTTATTTATTTATTTATTTTATTTGCAATAAATTCAGAGATTCTACTCCGCTGAATCAGCCACCTATACACATGTACCATAAATAAATAAATAAGTGTCGTGGTCTGGTTTATGAGTACACACAAAATTGAAAACCCAAACAAGTCTGGCTTAAAATGGCGAGGTTTTTGGGGAAGTTCTCTTTGGAAAAAGTCAAAATAGAAGAATAATGAGTGAACTTTGGAAGAGACAAGCAATTGCTTTTCAATTTTAATAAGTGCCTTGATCCTGATTTCCTTCATGTTTTGCACCTGCATTGTGATTGAATATTTCTGAATTTGGTTTAGGTTGAATTTGGTGAAATTTTCATATTTTTCTATTGAGTTTTTGTATAATTCATATAAGGGGTGTCAGCACACGAGCACACGTTTTATAATTATTTTAGTTGTTAAAGTTTTTAATTTCTAGTCAAATGTTTTATACAATCTTTGAGTTTGGCACTAACTTTGCATTTATGAGGCAATAAATTTGAAAGGCTATTTGGGTAAAGCTCGATCTTATGCTTGATTTTATTTTAATTTCTTTTCTTTTTAATAATGTCTTTGCTTGAGGACAATCAAATAAATAAGTGTGGGGAAATTTGATGAACAATATTTTTAGTGTTAATTTAGTTTATTGTTTCTAATTAATAAGTAATTTTTAATTAGTTATTGTACATATTTTTATATTTCATTATGTTTTTTAGTTTTTCTTAAAATAATTAAATAATAGGTTGTTTTATTATTACTTTTAGTATTATGTTTTTCTAAACCCAATTAGTATGATTATTTAGTTGAGCCCAATATTTGTAGTCCATTTGATAAAGTCCTTTATCATTGTGCAAAGAATTGATGCAGCAAAACAAAAGGATATGACGCATCAGTTTGGCCGATTCAAGCGCGATCCAAAAGGATTTTCTCCCAGCGCTGCCTAGTCCTTTGGAAGATCCGATTGAGACGTTGAGCTATAGAATCTCCGGTTGATCAGCGGGATCTCAGTGAAGCGGTTGAACTAAGCACTATAAAAAGAAGCCAGTGTTCATCGATTTTTTTTCATGACCAATCTCACAGATTCAGCCTTCAATTCTCACACCCAAAGTATTTGCTGCGAAAAGAAAAGAGAAGGAGAGTGATTTCGGCGGCGTACGACGGTGAAGGCGCTTCGCATCTCAGTCCCAACAGATTAATTATAGCAGTAAATTCTAGGTTCAATTCGGCAGTGGGGACAATTGATTTTGGCAATTTGCACACTCCAGGTTCTAGAATTAATTTGCAATTTAGTAGTGCATGGTATCTATTAGTTTATATAAAATCAAGATTGCAATTTTGGGATACGTGAGGTTGTTGTATCTTTGCAGTAGCATTCATATATTAGTTATATAATCGAAATGTTGAGTGGCTAATTCTTTAATCTGGGTTCATGAAACAATAACTATGAAAATTCTGCACTAATATGAGTTTTAATGCTTTCAATTAAATTATGTTTTATCTTACGCTTTCATGTGATGATTAATTGTGTTGAATCTGGCCAGTTCTAACGTTAATTAGTCGTTTGATGGAATTAATTGTGTACATACCATACCTGTTAATTCTAAGCTCTGTAGGATAAAAGGATAAATAATTTGGCTGTCTTGTTGGCTTATTTATTTGGTTCATAACCCAGGTATTCCGTAGTTCTTTTAGGACTTAATGGGTTTTAACTATTTGAATAAGTATCTTAAGTACATGAATGGTTAAAACACATGATTACTTTGGACGTCATACGAAGTTATCATATTTTAGAAAAGAACGAACTCGTAATTGGTTGGCACCATTAGACTTAAAATGCAGAATTAGTAATAGTAATTGATTCATGTTCCCAGTTTTGTTTTTCTAATCTGAAGTTTAAGTTGATAATATGTTTTTTGGTAATTTATTCGTTTACTTAATTTAAGCTAATCTTAATTTTTGGATCTTGTTTCTAGAACTTTAATTTGTTAATTTGATCGTTTTCAATCTGTAAGTTGCATTGTTTTAATTCCCTGTGGGATCGACCCTTGCTAAAGCACACTATTACTAATAATTGACTCGTGCACTTGCGAGGACATTCAAAAATTGTCCATCAAAGGAGACACACAATTGCGCAACGATTCAACAAAACGGAGGCCAAAGCATCACGTACCAGTGAGCGGAACGGTGGGTGGACAACCACCCGCCACTCTCCCATACACGTACCAGCGGGTGGAACCACGGGTGGGCCTCCACCCGCGGCTCTGCCCGCCGGTCCTTTTCCTTCCACCCTCGAGTGGAACGGCGGGTGGACAGCCACCCGTTGTTCCACCCGCGGGTACATACCTGTACCCACCAATTTCCCTTCGGGGAAAAACATCAACAAAGCCAAGTTCAAGTCCAAAATACCCAAAACCTCACATTCAAAAAAGAAATGACTTGAACACATGAATAACATTTATGAACCCTAGATACAAGCTCTAACATGCATAAACACAAGATTATGCATCAAATCACTCATGAACATCAAGAACATCAGTAGAGTAGCAAGAAATCATCATAGCAAGTATAAAATAGGTTTTGTAGAGCATGGGTTACCTTTGTAGTCTAAAAAACACTTCCTCAACCTCCTAGACCTCTCCTTGAAGTTCTTCCTCAACAAGGTCTTCTCACACAACCAAACCACACAAAGAAGACCAACACTTAGATAAAGATTAGGTAAAACCCACTAAAAACACTATCTAAGCTAAGATCTTACCCTTCCTAGAGTCTTGATGGTGGAAAGGTGGAATCTTGGAGAACTTTCATGCAAGGTTGAAGAAAGATTTGGTTGGCTTGGAGAATAAGCTACACCTTTAGAGAGAAGGTAGAGAGTCAAGTGTTTTCTTGTCAAATGTAGGAAATGAAGTGTAGTCTTGTTAGGGTAAGGCTTGAATGCCAAGTAAGGGTGAAAGGACTAGTATGCCCTCCCTTATTAAAAAGGTCAGGAAGACATCAAAAAGGCTAGGTACAACTTATAAAGCTCAAGGTCTTTTCTTTTGACTAAACCAATTGACCAAGGGATTGGTCAATTTAAGTCCTCTGACTTTTAATTAAGAAATTGGAAGGAAAATTCACAAGGAAGATTTGTAATTAATTACATAATTAACTCTATTTAAGAATTGAATTTTCGGGGTGTCACACTTTCCTTTGCACCTCAACCCTCCTCCCTCCCCAACTTTGTTCCCTAGTCCAATTTGCATCCTTTATATTTACCCCCCTCCCCCCCACAAAAAAAAAAAAAAAAAAAAAAAAAAAAACATTGCTCCATCAATCGATCCATACTCCCTTCCTTTGCTCTTGAAACTTCCACTCCCTAGGTCTAATTGAATCCTAAACCCAAACCCCAATTCCCTATCACAAGTAGGGATGTCAATCGTATCGAGTTACCCCATTCAATTTCAGTCTTGCCTTATCGGGTTGTCGACTTATCGATTCAAATTAATTTTTTCTGGTTGATTTTAAAATTCTTGGTCGTAATCCTAAAACCTAGAACTGTTGAGCTTATCAGGCAGGCTTAATGATGAGTGTTAAATTGTACTACTTTTATGGTACATTTATTGCCCAAATTTGGATTAGAATTGCTAATTATGTGCTTAAAATGACCAAATATGTGATATATTATGAAGAGGAACTACTTTTGACTATTTTGTATTTTGAAGGTAAAAAGGGCAATTTAGAGCTCAATTTGATGTGTTTGAGATCCTCTCAACTAACACCCTATTTCTCTAACACTCCCCCTCAAGTTGGAGCATCCAACTTGTTACATACGTATCACATGAACCACAGGACTCCACACCTAGACTATAAGCCCAAGTCTTGAACCACTCGAACAACCTTCGAACCACGCTGTGCCAAACCAGTCCACAACGTACCTTGTCGCACCAGCAGCACTTCTACAGAGCCAAAAAAAACTAGGCCAACCACCACAGCGCCACACCTGCCTCTCACTCCCCACACCCTTATCACCGCTGCCTAACACCACAGCGTACCTGCCTCTCACTCCACAAACCCTTGGCGCTGCTAGACCACAGTGCACTTGTCCCTCTCACCATGCACCCTTATCAACGCTGCCTAACACTACAACGTTTCCCTGGTGCATACACGTAAACTGATTCACTCTGAATCATTCTTCAACCGCCGGCCTCCCCCGCGGCATATGCCAGGTCCGCCCCACTCCTGGCACCTGTGCTGCCCACTCCTGCAGCACCCCTGTTTACGCACACTGAACAAGCTGCACTTGACTCCACTCAGACCCTAGAATTGCTCCCATAC